AAGTCTTTCTAAGGAGCCTGTTAAGATATTTAAAATAATTGTCTGTATTGGAAGGTATTTATAATTCACTACAAACTACAGACAAATGGACTTCCACAAAGTTTGAGTACCAGTGTTGACTCCCTTGTTTACCAGCTTGTCTGGAATGCCATGGAGCACACAGGGACATCTAGTGACTGAATATTACACTGAGAATAAAATAAAAAAACCCTCCTTACATCCTTAGGATAATCTAGGGTAGTGGTGCTCAATTTTTTGGTCCTCTTGGGCTGGATGAATGGCACGGGGGGTAGGCCATATTGGGCCCCATGTGCCACCCCAACTGGCCCTGCACACTGCCCAATCTACCTTGCAGGCCAGGCTATCCAGCTCACTTGGCTCCCTCAGGGCTATAAATTTGGCAGCAGATGAGTGGCAGATAGCTGCCACTGCCAGGTGGGGTGCCCTGTGGGCCAGGAGAAATGGCTCTGCAGGCTGCATCCAGCCCATAGGCCAGGGCATTGCACACCCCTGATTTACAAGGTGTTGCCATTTTCTGCTGAAAACTGATTCCAATTACTGTTGAGTAACATTTCCTGCTTGTGTTTAAGGACCAGCTCCTCTTTTGATTTACACGTTTATAAATCTCAGACAACTTGATTGATTTGTAGCTATTGCTGTACAGTGTGGACCAAGGGATGACATTGGCCACTGTGGGACATCTGGTGTCCCACAGTGGCCAATGCCAGATGCTTTAGTAGAAAGCTTAAAACTCCAAAGTGCACCTAACCAGGCAACAAACACCTGCTTTCCCCCTTCCTTCCCTCCCACAAGCCAGAGCTTTCTTTGCCGTTTCCTTTTGATATGCACAAAGCAGGGCTCTAAGCATTCTAGCCTGTAGCCATCTGCTGTTTTCCTTCCACAAAAGGGTTCAAGGCTTTTTTTTCCAGCTGAATGGCCCAGTTTCAGCCTGGCCTGTTCCCAATGCCTTGTGAAGCTGCTTGGGGATTTTGTGGAAGGGATGCCACTTACCTAAATCATGTCAGCAGATTCAGGTTTGTGGTGCTGAGCCCAAATGCATGCGCCTGTTGTGCTGCAAAGCAGCTTGTGGTCTAGCCAGATGTTAGACTCACAGCAGCTGTAAGGGCTGCTGCACCGGAGAGATTGAGAAGCAAATTTTCGAATGTGCACCAGTGCAGATTTCTGAGTGCCCGGTCCCTACAGCCGTGATTGTGGCTACCGATCCCTTGGGACCATTCTCCTCGTAGCAGTTACGACAACCTGAATTGCCCTCATTAAAGAACTGGTGGCTACGCAGTGGCAGATTGAGCTGCAGAGAATGAGTGGCTCTGTGTGGCTTTTAAATCATTAGAGACTGGGGATGATTGGGATTCATAGATGTGAGGCCTCCTCCATTGGAGGGACCCCTCTCTGTAAAACTTGATGTACTCTTGATCGATTGGAGGAGCTACTGGGTGTGATGCAGCCCAGTGCACAGGAACGAGCAACAAGATCAACCCAGCATTTGGGGAGGACGACAATAAGAGCAGGTGAGTGACCA